ATGGAAATTTTTTAAATTTCTAAACGCTTTAAATCTCTTTACTCAAATTTGATATTTTCGAAAAATCCGTTTACCAAGAATTCTTGACAAATATTATAACTCAAATTAATCCTTTAATGGAAATAAAAAATCATTGCTGATGTAACGTATGAGGTAGAAACGTGCTCTATGAAAAATCTTCTATAGACTTCTTCGGGATTGAGTCAGGCAAGATTACATCGAAATTCTAAAAATGGCACGCCAGCTCGCAGTCGAGAAATACGCAGCCACGCGAGCGGCGCGGCATTAATTTCCATTAGCCGAATATCCAATTTATCGCGGGAGCAAAAGGCGGCCAATCGACGAACGTGGCCGCAATAAACGTAATTATATTTAACGGGGCGTCATAAAGGCCTCGATAGATTAGGGGCCTCTCTTTTGCCGCGCTCCCTTCTCCTCTCCCGGCGTGTTCTCCAGTTGCGATTCGTCTCACGCAGGGCTGTCCGTCGCGATCGCCGAATGCGCGGCTTGGCTCGCGTAATTAGAATATCAATTAATAATCGGGATTAATTAAATCCGCGATTATCGATGCACGTCGCGGAACGACGTGAGCTTTCGTCGTCCGTGCGTTCATGTGCACGCACACGCCTAAAGGCACATGCCGAAGATGGAAACGGGCAGATTAGCTCGCGCGAATGTACGGCTCATGTCACCTTTTTTGTCCTTGATGAGTCCAACGACATTCGTCGCGCGCGTTTATTACACCGTTGTCGTCGTTGCATTAATTACCTCGCTCGACACGGCTGTGCGCGCAACCGGTCCGCAATTGATTCCAAAGTTAATTTCCTTTTGAAAGACGTCTCGGGCTTATCGCGAATATCACGGGGCATAATTTACATTGATAGGCAACTATTTGTAACAGTTTATATAAAGGTTATATATTTATATATAAAAATACATATAGATTGTGCGCTTTACGTGTACAAGGCGTTTCAAAAGCGAAAGTCAATCGCTCAGGTGAATCGAGATCCAAAATAAGAAAAAAGTTAAGGATGCACAACTAGGATGCAAAAGGATGCACTGGAATCCTGATTTTTGCCGAGAGATATTAAGCGGACTATATTTCCACGTGATGCATCCTATGTAATGCTAAAGCAACAATTTTTATTTAATTTTAATTATAAAACTCATAAAGACTATCTTATCTTTCAATTTTGATAAAAAAAAAATTCGAAAGCAAATTTGAAATTTCAACATAGAAATTTCAACAAGACATTTTCAGATTTATGTTCATACTAACTTGTTTTCTTATTTTCGGGTCCCTAATCACCTTCCGAACGATCGACTTCCACTTTTGAACATCCTGTATAAAGCGCACAACCTATCGCGGTGAAAATGTTCCTGATGATTCACGATCAATTATTGGCAGCATTCGTATGCATAATGCACTCATGAAGCACATGCGATTCCGACGTTTGCTGCGCTAAAATTGGAAAATTCTATTTGCAGAACTCTATTCCAAGTGTAATACTCCCCGTTGAATGCAGAACGCTGTTAAGCTCTACCTTTGACGTGCGAATTATTTATTTAGTTCCAGTTAATCCCCATATGCTCCGCAGATGATGTCTCATTCATTTCACTACTTCGCTATGTACGTGTATGAAAAAAGAAAATGTAACCTACAATGCAATTTATAGTAGTGAGGTTATATTTCTTCTCCCTCTAGAATGAACAATTAGATTTTTCTGCATAAGTTGAATTATGACGGAGGATGGTACATTTTAATTTAGAGAATAATCGAATTGAAGGTAGGAGCAAAAAATTCCAAGTTAAAAAGAATGCCAGAATAAGAATCTCCTATAAAACGGCAATCGTATCGAAAGTAACGATCAAGCGTTCGAGGATTAAAGCCGTTTTCGACGAGGAATCTCCTCGTGCGTGGAGGAGGGGGGGGGGGAGAGGAGCGGGGGAGAGGGGCGTTCGACGAACGCGCATCTTCGCGGACGCAGACGAGCGGAAAAGTGTCCGTCGATCTCGCGAGATAACGAGTACGCGCTCGACCGGGTTTACCTTGCGCGTTTTACCTGCGTTAACTTGACTCCTCGCTTACCTGGCCGCGCTAACGCCGGGGATAAAGGCCGAGCACGCTCTCGCCGTTGCCTACCTTCCAGGCAGGTAATTGAAGCTGCTCCCGGAATAACGCGCTTAAGTGACAGGTGAACACCTTATACGCGAAGCGCGTACCCGTGACAGTCGTACATACGTACGCGCGGTGTGTCCGTCCGACGGCCAAGAGAGTTGGCGGTTGCGGAGAGACGAAATATAAAAGCCGAGTTACACGGTAGAGGGAATAAAGTGTAATCTTGGCGACGGGAAAGGCTGGCCGGGAGAGAAGTAGCCAATCAACGGGTGAATATGATGGAAGAGTCAAACGTACGGGAGAAGTAAAGAAGTAACTCGTGGAAGTACCTCGACACATTGCGATCTGATTGGAACTAAAGTACTCAAAGTATTCTTATGGCGGAAAAGAGGAGATATTGTATCTCGGCTGACAGTTGTCGGCCATCGCGCCGCGAAGTTCGATTCCGAACGGGGCTTCATCTATTAACGGTAAATGAAGTTTCACTGGGTGACACGAGATTTTCATCGAGGAGTCGTCGGAGATAACGTGCGTGGGACTCCAACTGACGTCGACGTCGGGCCATTTTCTCGTCGATCTCCGCTCAACCTCGACACCGACGGGAGCGAATTCCCAATCGCGCGTTACCGTCGTGCATTAAACTCCGCGGGGTAATATATCAGGGAATAAATCGTCGAACGTGTTGGAAGCTTTTATAGGATTTTTACAACGTGCGCGTCCGTGAAATACTGGCGTAAAGAAAGGAAAACGTAAAGAAAGAGAAAGAAAGATAGACAGAGCGTTACCGTCGCGAGAGGTGAGGAGTGGTTAAACTGAGTGTAAATCCAGGTATCGTTGGTGTGAGCGGAGAAAAAGGAGGGGGGAGAGAGAGAAAGAGAGAGAGAGAGAGAGAGAGAGAGAGAGAGAGAGAGAGAGAGAGAGAGAGAGAGAGATGTGAGAGAGATGTGAGAGGGAGTTGCTCGAGAGGGATGAAGGCTCATCCTGAGGGATGCAGCGTGCGGTAGGGGATGCCTGGGTCTTCGCGTGCGTGCGGATCCGCCAATCGGGCTTCAGGACCGCCCGTGATCACCATGGCAACCCCAGGGGTTGACGGATGGCGATTACAAAACGGGGGTAACCCGATTAAGCACCGCGATGCCGTTCCTGGAGGCGACGTCTGGGGATGCGGGCTGGCTTTCAAGAGAAAGGGGAGAAGAAGGTAGGCCCAAAACTACAGTCTGTTTGAAAGGGGTTGCTTTCTCTATTTGCCCTCTTAATCACCCGTTAAGTGCCACGACCCCCGAAGTGGTTCCCTCGGGCACGCAGCAACGAATTGGTCCCTGCTTTTACGTCTCTCGATTGGTCAGCGATGAATAAGAAACCTTGAGACGGTCCCGAGGGGTAAAAGATATTTAAAGCCAGCTTAAAGGTGAAATATTTCGGTTTGAGATTTTATTACATTATTTTTTAACATGGGGTGAGAGAAATTCAAAGACTTAACATAACAGTGATTCGACCAATTCTCTTTTTAATCTTAAAAGAATTAAATTTGCTTTAACTTAAATTAATTTATCATTAATTAATCATAGAATACATATTAAATTAACAATTATTTTAATGATTAAATGCTTTTTACAAGAGCAGCGATGAGTTAGTTTGTATTTTAAAGATGTAGCTTTAATATATCTTTATTTGTATTTTATCGTATTCAAATAATCGACAACAAAAATACTTGCATAAAAATTCCATATATATTAATGAAATAAATTTTTCATAATATAAATTTATGTTATTTATCCCATTTATATTGTAATTTTTATCATAATAGCCTCGAAGCCGTGAAATCATACGCTTCATTCCATCTCACTGCGGAAGTTCATCCTGGAGTATTGGAAGCTAATCCGTGTTTTGTCGAAACCGCGCAGCCACCCAGGATGTTAGACAAACATCCCCGTTTCAATCCTCGACCTATCCCTTTTACTGCGCGCGTGTGTTCCCTCACAATGTCATAATGCTGATTTTCCACATAGATAGCTCCAAAATGGAGCTTATTCAACCCTTTTCTCACGAACGGCGCGTTATATCTAACAGTCAACTCCAGAACAATGCCTCGATCGAGTTTATCGCCGCTCCTCCTCCCCCCCCCCGTGTATCATCCCCCTTTTCTTCTAGGACTGACTACACGTACCATTGTAACCGGATACTCCCGTTTAGGGGTGGCTTCTTGATATATCGGGAGGGGGATTGACCGAGCCCAGGCTTATAACTAGTTGCCACTTAATTTGACAAACCCGGCAAGAACGAGGGGTTCGATTCGCCCTCTGTCTCTTGACGGGGGATTGGCCCGCCGAGATCGATTGGCGGATACGTCGGTATTCGCTGGGGACGGCCACGTTTGAATTACCTCCCGTTGAACGTCGCGTATCTTCTGCCTCCATCGGGCTCGTCAGAGAATTATCTTTCGCAGCGCGCGTTCCCTCCACCGACACGATCGGAAATCCTTAACTACACTTTCTCGCAATAGGCCTCCCTCCTATCGTGAGCCGAACATCTCAAAATATCCGAGTTGATTCTATAATAATCACGTTTTTAGACTCGATTATATCGTGTTTTATGTGAAGGATGTGGATCGGATCTGATTTTCTTTCGTTAGATATTCGTTTTCACAATATTGTATAAGTAAAATTTAATTTCGGTGGTTTTATTCGATTTTATTCGATTTTATTTACACCTTCTCTTTGTTTAAAATAATTATGTATGTAATGAAATTGATCCGTCTCTTTTGAAATGAATTCAAATTCAAGTTAAATTCATATTTCTAATCTACTCTGATGATTACGTTAATCTAAGATCATGTTGGATTTTTGGAAAATTAATAGCAGTGAAATTATTGATGTTTCAGGTAAAAGTGTGGTTCCAAAACCGGCGGACAAAACACAAGCGGATGCAACAAGAGGAAGAGGCGAAGGCCCAGCAACAATCGGGTGGTGGTGGCGGCGGCGGTGGTGGCAATGGCGGTAGTGGCAACGGAAATGCCAACAACAATAGTAACAACAAAAACACTCATCACGTCAGCAAATGGCAGCAGGAGACTGGCGATTACCATCATGAAGACGAGGAGGAGGAGGAGCACATCGATCCGGAAGCTGAGGAATGCTCGAGCGGCTCTGAAGCGTAGCTAGACGTTCTCTGCCTGGATTAAGATCCAGGATCGAGTAGATTATCCTGAACAGATTCTGAAGAGAATTCGATCGAGATAGAAGCCATGCAATGAAGAAAATCTCGAAAGATCGACTTGGTCGACTTAAATTTCGAGTCGGCTAAATAGGAAGAATAGAATCGGATTCTCTCTTGGTTGCGCCTACGATCGTGTAATTCACAAGTGGTTAACAGCAATGAGTGAGTTCCCACGAAGAAGTAATCGCGCGGCGATCTTCGCATCACGCTCAATTTACGGTTGAAACTTCGTAGGAGATCCCCATCTCGATGTAAAACGAAAACCGAAAGTTTCGAAGATCGTTTGAAAATGACCGGCGGCGATATTTGCCGTATCGGAAATAGCTGAAAATTGACCGTACGTCGTGAATGGAAGAAAGGTTGACGAGTTTTAACCTTGAAATCTAAAGAGCCTTTCCGTTCAACAGAACCGGAAAGGATCCGTCGATTTCCGAATTTGCCAGATGTTACATATTTACTCGAAGTAAATGTATCATTTTAGGGACCTGACATTGATATTTTTCATAAACTCGCATTTATACGTTATGTTCTTCATAAATTTGAAATTTTTTTTTAGACTGAGGTCTGGTCGATAATTAAAAACAAACAAACATTAAAGATAAAAAGATTTGATGCAGGAAACAAAATCTGTACGTATAATTTTACGTACGTTATTTACACAAACATAAAATTTGTGGAATAAATAGATGAGGGAAATTCTATATCGCATGTTTATTCATCGACAGGCGTATGAGAACAGGAATTTTGTTTCATCTTTATTTATTTTTTTTTTTTCAAACCGGAATCACGATGTAGTTTCTTAGCATTTTCGTTTCGCGGCGTTGCCCCAAAGGCCAAGGAACAATCGCGGAAATCCGTAAATATCGTCGAGATTAAGATATGGCATTCTCAGACTATGCTATCTTATAACGGGTTCGGAAAAAGCGACGGAGAAATCGAAGGCGTCCATCGGAAACTAGCTAATGGAGGCATTGTCTGCCGGAGACGACGAAGCTAAATGGACGCGCTTCCGGCGGAAAGCGGCGACGCTCGTATCGAGAACTTTGATCGATGCCAACTTCAACAAGGCAAATCATTTTTCGGTTGACTGCTCAATTTGAAACTCTGAAAATTTTTGCGACAGAAAGAAAAGTATTTTTCACAAAAGCTTAATTCCGTTTATTTTCATTATGGACTTTAACTTAAACTTTTTTCTTGGAAAATCATCCACGATGATTATTTAGAAAGTTGCACGCAATAATTTCAAAGTAATTAAAATTTAGTTATTAAAACTTAGAAAACGGTCTGAGATAAGAATCGATTCGCGACACGCCGATCGCCATCGCGACGCGCGCCATTTACGTTCATCTTGCCATAAAGAAAAATAAAAGCCATAAAGACTAACTATCGTCGGACGGTGTAAATAAAGTGTAGCAGAAGACTAGATCCTGGATTCTCCAGGTGCATTTTCGTTTCGAGGACACGAGTGTAAATAGATAACTGATAAGAGACATCCGATACACGCAGAATGCACATGTGCAGGCAGAACCGTAAGTAAAATGAAACTTGAAAGTGAGTGCCAAACTTCGTAAACCCTTAGCGAGAAAAGAATCATCCACGATGATTACTCAGTGTAAACGCGTTGTATTTGCAATTGTATTTAAGTCGTTGTTCTACGCGAGCGAGCAGTATTTCTTTTGTCAATCGATGTTTCGAGATATACTGACAATTTAAATTATTATTGCTAATGTTATAAATCGGGACTTCGTGCGCCATAACGGAGCCGTCGCAAAATATCAATTTCCGATGTTTCAGTCTCGAAACCATAATATTAATGTATCGACATTTCGTCTCGATATTTTAATATTATAATATGATATGTTGAGATATTATGTATCGAGATATATTGTATGTTATCGAGCAGCGCATCGCGTTAAAATCGTAGACTTTAATTCGATAAATTTCATTTAGATGGAAATTTATTCCCCAAAAATAAGACGATTTTATGCCGAATTTCGCCTAGGAAACATGTTCCTATTCCGCGCAAGAATCCGGCCGGTTGTGGCGCAGGGATTTTCGCTTGTAAATAATCCTGTAAATAGCAGATTGTGATTTTACTCGACGTACAGAGCCATAGAATTGTACGACCATCAAATGACTCAGTTCGTGTTATTTAGCGAATAGTGAAATAAATTAAACCAACTATGAAAATTTCCGCTTTTATTTTGCCCGTTTCCAGCAACTGTCGATCCTAAAAAACATTTTTATCTACAAAAATGTACACCTGAGAAGACGATCGTGCGAGAACTTATTAGAAAATGAGACAAAACATCGTGTCCCGTTACGACGTTTTCGACGTAAAGAGATCTTTTAATGTAAGAAGAGTAGAATTGCGTTGGAGCGTTTCAGAAAAGAGAGGGATCATTTAAAATTCCAATAATATCCAGATGGTAAATTTCACGTTGTAAACGTTGTAAACGTTGTAAACGCGGAGCTCGAGCTCGTAATTTCGAGGCGATACATACTCGCGTGTGTAGATACGTACACGGACGGAGGGGTTCGGCGAAATTGTTTGTTTTCCGCACGCGGTAATTTCTCGCGCAGCGTATTATTTTAGGAGGCAGCCCCGCGTGCGAAAAATTGAATAATTTTCGCCGTCGGGCCCGTCGATAAGGAAACCCGCGCCGTAATAATTCCTGAGCACACGACATTATCGCAATGGCCGACCCGTAATTACCGGGATGCGCGCAAAGGGGTGTCTTCGCGCCGCAAATTGTTTTTCGCGAGGACACCGTCGAGCCCCCGCGCCGACGACGATGGCGGGGCCCCGACGACGGTGGAGAACCGCCACGCATACGTCCATATGCGGCCTGGCCGCGGGAGCGATCCTTGTCGATAATTACTTTATAATCGCCGCTTCCAATAGGAATAATTTACTATGTCGGACGTGGAACTCTCTCTCTCTCT